TTTAGCTACATGGACCACGTCTCTTGTAAGACATACTGTCAGTTAACTAGCTCCAATCGCCGCCTCGTCTATCTTGTCTCTATCCCTAATACTAAGTCTATGACTTGCCCTAGTCGCTTGTGTGCCAACCCACAAATGTTGTGGTACTGTTGGCTTTGGTTAGGTTCAATGTTGAACAACAACGTTTGTGGGTTAGCAAACAAGAGACTCTGATAGGACCCAGGAAAGGACTACGTAACAATATGGTCAACACTCCCAGCACAAGGGTCAAGGTGATAATGACAGTGTGGAGTGTGAATAGTTTTCATGAATGCCGCTCGAAGGAGCACACGACACTACATTAAAAATAAGCACGGTAAAAATTGTGACAGGGAAGGCATGATAGTAGGATATAGGAAATGTGAATAGCCCAGGGCAGAAGGGGAGATACCACAACTGTTTAGCACACTTTTGGTCAAAGGATGGTCTTCACTTGTCTCTTTGACGAGTTGTAATATGGTGCTACGAATGGCAAGACTCACTGACGATGCCGGCGAAACGTCTGGGAATCTACCACGTCCACGATCCTACTCTGGAAATGATGATGCACACAATAGACTAGGTGCGTTCTTCCAAGTCTTCCTACCAATATGACCAATTAGCGAAAACAAGGTCAAACAACTTCTATACAACAAAAGAAGATCACACAAAAGGCCCCACCATCTTAGTCTTCATATCTTTGTATAAGTATCCTGGTTGGTTCCAGTTAGTATTACACCGGAAATATAAATATCAAGTTCTCATTTCTTGCAAAATTGGGCATATATAAAAAATCTTATAATAATAGGACAAGTTTAGGTGACTAATGGGACTTGTAAAATGATGCACTTGTTCGCATTTTCATATAATAATTAAACAAAATAAATAATAAGTGTGCTTCAAGAAATCGAATCTAATTGAAAACTGATCAAAGTACTAATTTGTTACTAAATCTTGAATTTTGGAGTTGGTTATACTAAAATGCCCCTGGAATCGAATCACTTACCGCATCCTCTTAATGTATTTAATAGCACTTGTGTCTATTTCTGGATTGGTCTGTGCGAATAGCTTGATTAAACTGTCCAACTCGTCTTCAGTCAGCCGAAATACGGAGCTTCCGCCAGCACCCACAGCGCCAACGTTACCCGTGGAAGCGACTACAAAGCCTTCGCGGGTGGTGGAAATACCCGACTCACTGCGTCCACTAGTCTCCGACCGAGTTGAATCAGCTCCACAGAATGCAGCCAGCATCAAGAGTCTTAACCGATCCTCGGGGGTGCCCGTGTTTATATCACGAATTAAGTCGGACAGGTTCTTATCCTATGGAAACAGCACAAATATAAATTGTGGTAAGGGATCTAATTTTAAGTAGTTACTTAAATATAATAATAGTTTTGAAGCCTCAATGTCACTTTTATTTTTTAAGGGTGATAGAAATGTGTATCGCTTGATACCTTTGCTTGTGAGAAATAAAATGGCCTCAACCATTCATTATATAACTGTATAAGGGATGAATGTCATGAAAGTAATCCCTTAAAAGCAATATGGCAAAGAAAATCTGGCGAATTTTCTTGGCTTGATGAACAGGATCGATGGGAGGACGAAATTCACCATCGAGCTATAAAAGGAAAGTGGTTTACCGTTGTATGACGAACAGCATCAAAGGGTACCATCCTTACAAGCAAATTCAAGCTAATGAGTCAAGAAAACTCATCGGCACATCTATAAAAAGCTGTATATATACTCTATATCTGAGCTTTTTGATGAGGTATAAAGTATTTGGTAAGTTTCAGTCGTATGCCAACCTCGGGACATGTAAGTATGCCCGTCTCTGTAAATGTAGGTGCCTTTATACACATATATAAAAATATATTTATGTTTTAACCACCACTCATAGCGAAAAAAAGTGTTGTAGTTTCCATGAAAACCTACGTGTTCGCTTATCTTTTAGAGACAATGCACAAAGACAAAGAAAAAACATGGGAAAAGGTCTCATTA